GGTGCCCCGGGGGTTAGCTCACTGGCCTGTGACTCAGGGGTCATGTCCCTGACTCTGCCACATCCTCTCCGTGCGGCCTTGGGCACATCACTTAGTCTGCCTGTTTTGGTTCCCGTCTGTACAATGGGGTGGCAGCCATGCCCCCACACACATCAGCTGCACCGCAGACAGATCTACTGACCAGGTGTGGCGTTGACAACGTTACAGCTGCCCCTTGTCTGTGGATTGGAGGGACCGGAGTCCGTTTAACGGCGTTATCTTCACAAAATGCCTGGGAGTTACGGCCAGGCTATGGCCCCCATTGTACAGGTGGGGAAACTGAGGCCCGAGGAGCTTGCCTCGAGGTCACACAGGAAATTGGACCCAGGTCTTCCAAATCCTAGGCTAGTGGCTAACCGCTGGGCTGCGCTTCCTTTCCTTCCCCTCTGAAAGTGCAGGCAAGATTGCCATGCCAACGAGTACCAGCTCAGTGCCTGGCGTGCTGGCCGGGCAGGACCGCGTGGGACCTGGGTTCCCAGAGGCGCAGCAGGAAAGGGGCAGGTGGGCTGTGTGGTCTGGGTGGGAGGGGGCGGGCGGGCGACCGAGAAAGCGGCGACTGAAGGGAAATGAAGGACCACGTGTCGCAGGGCGAGCTGGCCTGGACGAGGGCCGGGCCTCAGCTGCACCTGTGACAGGGTGTCTCTGGGCTCCCCCTTTGTTGCTGCCCCGGCTGCATCAGCTGCTGCTAGTAAGAGGACAGAGAGAGGAGCAGGAAGGGCTGGAGGTGAGCCCGGAAGTAGGGCAGTGGCAAAGAGAAGACATGGCTCTGGGGAGGAGACCTGCCCCAGATCAGAAGTCTGGGTTTCTTCTGTTTGGGCACGGCTCCTACTTTGGAAGGGACGGATGGTACATGGCTTGGCTGGAAGGCTGAGTCCCACAGCAGCTAGGAGAAACACAGGTGGGGAAACTGAGGCAGCCTGCAGCGGCACTGGGTGGGTGTGCTCAAGCACCACCCCCGAACTCCAGATCTAAGCAGCCCCAAGGCACAAAAGCCGGCGCTGGGTTTGGGCTTGGTGCCCAACTCTCCCCTCGGCCGGGAATCCTGCACCGAATGTAACTCACCCGGGAAATCCACACCGGGGAGCTGGTGTGAGCGGTGGGTCAGAACTGGGTTGCGTGTGGGGACGGACGCCCCCCTGCCCGGCTGCCTCGCTCACGCGGCTAAAATCCGTCGGGCTTCTGGGGTCTCTAGAAAGCGACAATCCCGCAAGCTTGGATCCTCGCGGCTCCTTTCCCGTCGCAAATCAGAGCCTGGCCGGGGAGTTTGCTCAAGCGAAGCGACATTTACTAGCGAGCTGGCGGGCAGCGTCTAGCCCTCCTAGCTCCCTCGAGGGTTACCAGACGGTTTCAGAAAAAATACCGAACAAAACAAAAAAACACGCCAGGAAAAAGTTTGTTGAACAAAAAAAAAAAACCCACAGTGGCCCCTTTAAAAACCGTGTGGCATTTTCTGCATTGTTTTACCGGACAGGAAGCGAACATACTGAGCAACCCCAGTGGCACTGGGCTGCAGTGGGTGTAAATCCTGTTTCTCTTCCGGCAGTCCCGTGGAACCCAGCCCGCGCCGCTGTCCCCGTCCCCATCCCTGAATGCCACAAGCAAGCCCTGAAAAAACCCACAGTGGCCCCTTTAAAAACCGTGTGGCATTTTCTGCATTGTTTTACCGGACAGGAAGCGAACATACTGAGCAACCCCAGTGGCACTGGGCTGCAGTGGGTGTAAATCCTGTTTCTCTTCCGGCAGTCCCGTGGAACCCAGCCCGCGCCGCTGTCCCCGTCCCCATCCCTGAATGCCACAAGCAAGCCCTGTCGGCAGGGGAGGTGGTAGGGCAGGCGCTTCCGTGCGACGGGGCGTCCTTCCTCCTGCGCTGGAGAGCAGAGACGAGGGGGAAGGCGGGGCACAGAGATGGGAGGGATCTCGGTGCTAAGACCAGAGAGAGCACATCTCCTCTCCTGCTGCCAGTCCCTCTCTCCATTTCAACCTCTTTGGGCCCTGTCAGGTTTGCCTCCCAATTCCAGCTCGGCCGTGTCTCCATGCTGGCGGGGTGGGGAGGGGTTTTGCCTGCG